GATAAACTACCAACAATATTGCCACAACCAAAATAAGCAGCAACAAGTAGAAATATATTCACATTATCATTTTGCTTTTTTAATTTGACCTGTATCTTCAGAGCGTGGGTGACCATGGCTCTCCACAACTTCCTATCTTTTTTTGCTCTTGGTAACATTTGTCTTTCTGCCATTTCTCCATCCATTTTCACAAGCTCATCAGGTAAGTGGACTACTGCCTCTCCTCTCCCTTTTGTCTTCGATATGTCCTGTGAGTTTCAAATTTTCCAAGCCCTTATTTAGTAGAAGTTCTGGGATACATAATGAGGAAGATCCTCATTATGTATCCCAGAACTTCTACTAAATTTTTCTGGTTCTGCATGAGTCCTTTTTGTTTTTATTTTCCATAAGACTTCTTTATTGCTTACGTACTCTGGTCCATGGCATTCTCAGCATCCTTCTGTTGAGCAAAATTTCAGCTACATCTATGAGGAGATTTCCAGCATTCACTACCATACAAGAAGACAAATATTACATAACAGTTCAGCAATTTCTTCTTTGTTTCTAACGAAACTTTCCTGTTTCTTGATACTTTGGTTAGCTTTTGAAATGCATTTTTCCAATTCCAATGAACATTCGGATTTCAATGTATAGGAGTAGATAGGTTTACCTATCGTCCGGTTTACACTCTTTCCCGGTCTTTTGAAGAGGAGTAAATATCTATCCCTTATTTCCTGTTTAGGATTGGGTTTCCGGTTCCTTCTAAGGTCTAATGCTTCTAAACTCTCCACCTAAAGCTATGAACTTTTATTTACTATTTACTTAATTTTTTCATGAATAGGAGTAGATAGGTTTATCTGTCGTTCGGTTCATACTCCTCCTTGGTCTTTTGAACAGAAATAGAGGTTTATTCCTCGTTTCCTGATGGCTTTCTGGTTCTCTCTGTTGTCTTCACTTTTACTTTCACTTTCACTTCTGGTGGGTCCTTGTACGTTGCTTGGGATCGTGCCTCTCTTACTCTGTAACCCTCTACCTCAATTGTCTCCTGAGCCTTGTACAGGATAAATATCATTGTGAAAAAAAAAATGAAAAGATATTTAAACTTTGGTACTAATTTGATGTCGACATTATCAATTTGTATTTCGTATCTTGGGTTTTTTTTTCTTGCTGACAACAATAACATTTAGTCTTTTTACAATCATTACTATTATTTGCTCATTGAGTTTTCATTTATCATTTCACATTAAGCAAGGCGATAATGCCACTAAATCTCCTGGGTTTACTGAGAGTGAAAGTGAATGAGAAAACTTTAGTAAGGAGAAAGCAAAATAAAAGATACAAAAGATTACAATTGAAACTCCATTTAAATTTTTGATCATCGAAGGAGTCAGCACCAGAAACCAAGTAACAATATTATACTAATAGTATATTTAGTTAAAGATTGTAATGAATCCGACAAACTGATGACTTTTAGTCGGCACTGATATATATATATATATATATATATATATATATATATATATATATATATATGGCAGAAAATGTTAAAATATTAGTCAAATGAATGAAAGTGGAAAAAAGAAATCTTTTACAAAACAACGCACTCTAATTAGTCTGATCAAGATTTCGATTTAAAAATGCTGCTTTAATTAAAAGAGGAAATAATTTACTAAGACAAAAGATCAGTACTTTAATCGTTAGATCATCCACAGTAAAAATTACATTCAGTTTCTTACATTTCACTTTTCTTGACTGATCTTCTATGATCACAATTTTTGAATATTTAATAACAAAAGTGATAAAGACATAAACAAAAGAAAGTAAATGAAATCGGTTAGACCCACAACATATATTTGCAAAAAAAAAGAAGAAAAATATTAAAATTTAAATTGTCAGCGTCCCCTCTCCCTCATGCACATGTGTAATCACATCAACGTAAATATCAGTTTAGTTCGATGAAGCTGCATTGGGTGAAAAGCGTAACACGACAATTTTTTCCACAGTCGTAGATTTTCCTAACACATACATACATATATATATATATATATATATATATATATATATATATATATATATATATATATATATATATTGTCACCGCTACCAAATATAACCTGCTATTTAACCCATAGCTGAGGAGAAGAAGAGACGGATTCATGTTTCTCAAATAGGTAATTGTGCGAAGGTGAATGCAATAGACTACACCAGACTTTGAACTTTGCCGATTCCATTTCTATTTTTCAAGCCAGTATCCTTTATTTTAGCCACACATCTTCTGTTTCACGTTCCTTGTCAGTTAGTGAACAATCCAATATATGACGAATTCTGCTTCATAGGATTAGGAAGAGCCGACACCGAAGACACAAAAAGTCACGTTGCGATGAACTCTTTTTGCCACACACCAGTTTTCCCCGTGATAACTTTTCTTATACTACTTGGCGGAAGGGGTCTCTCCGCTTGGAACTGATCGATGGGTCAGGCTTTCGCGATCCGTATTCTTACTGGAAATTGAGATTAACCAAGATTTTATTTTATTTTTTATCCCATGTGAGATTTCCGTCATAGCTGAGCTTGCTTTGCGACACCTCCATTACCATTTGACAGACATACAAGCAGACACAAACTCTCCACCCGATAAAGTTCCTGGTTAAGATTCGAGCGCAGGCCCCAATTGAAGGGAGCCTACAACCTAGGCGCCAGTAAGAGTGTCGCCGGCATTTCCTTCTGCAACAACATTCTACGTATTTTTGAAATATTTGGTTTTGCAAACCCTAGAACTCATTCTCTTTTTCCAGTACATTAATATATGAGATCATTCTTCACAAGGTGCTTTATTTGTTTAACCTTTACCCAGACTAAACTCATCTTGATATGCACATTGATACATATATAAGCATTTTCGTTTGCAATGAAAACGATAAGCAATCAATGGATTTATAGCAAACAAAGCAGTTCTTCGTTGCCTTTTAAGGAAATGTGATCTAATGACAGTGATTTAGTACCCAGCAACCCCTCAGATGTTGATCTTTTGTGCCGTCCCTCTTCAGAACGTAGTCGATCATGGCACTCCACATCTTCCTGTCCCTTGTAGCTCTAACATAACATCTCCTGTCGCCGATTACACCCGGTAGTGTAACCACGTTTAGTGGTCCGGTCATCAGTCTTAGGACGACATTTTAACCACAGTGCTAACTCTGCGCTGGCCACTGCTGACACTGGTCCAAGGTGGTTGTTCGTCGCTGTCCGCTTCGATCCACACCAACTCTGCCTACGAGCAGTAGAAGATCGAATGTCGTATTAATCGCATCACCTGTTCAAGATGTGGCGGGTGCTATAATAAGGAACGAATATTTTTACAACGAAAAAATAAACGAAAGATTCATGGAGTTAATCTTCAACTGGTTTATATAATCTTGATACAACAAAAATTAACCGTTCCCATATTAATCTCTATAGTGACACTGTTCCTAACCTAATAATTTGAGTTTAAAGTTCTTCGGAATCAGGAAATCTTGTGGCAGCTGACGTGGATTCCAGAGGCACTCGATACTGGGGTTCTCAGATCAAGTTCTCGAACTTCCAAAGTCATGTGCTTATATGCACTACCGCCCAAAACTGGCGTGAGTACAAAGGGTTCTTTTGATTCGTTGATTCTCTAATTTTCTCATTAATTCTAATAAGGGTTATTTGTTCCCTATTTCTGCTTTCTTAATCAACTTTCTAAATTTGGAGTTTCATCCACCTTCTCGGGCATAGTTACAGGGATTGCTCCCCACCAACTCCAACCATCTTCATTCTCGCACCACCACTCCACACAGGTTAAATTCTCCCTCCTCCTCCTCCTCCCTTCTTAGCATTCTACCTCAGCCCATCTCTCAGGCCGGCCCAACTGTCTTTGTGATAGATCTAATTTTCAAATCCCGTTAGCGAAAGGGCGTAGTTTATTCTAATCATTAATTTTAATTTTCCTGCCTTTTTAAGGCAGAGATAAAATTATCTCTCCGTTTCCGGACCTACCCACGTTTAGGGAAAACACAAACCAGATCACCCTCACAACAAGCACGGGATCTGTTTTTATAACTTCGACCCTCACAAAGGGTTCGCTCATTGTTTTCATTTCCCAATTCGTTTTCGTCAACGAAAATATATTTGTTTGCCTAAATTCTCAAAGAAGAGATAAAATTGTTCCTCAAATCTGTTTTCGTCTACATGCCAGACTGTCGATAGATAAGAAAAATAAACTTTAGTAGTGAAGAAATCTGGGCGGTCCCATTTTCACCAATGAAAATTCTCCACACTATCTCTCTTTCTGTCTCTCGCTGTATCTTCCAGCCTATACTCCATTTTGGGCTTAACTTTTTCTGCTTAGAATCAACATTTAACTACCTCATGGCCTCAGTGTTTCATTAATAAGTTTTTTCCCAAACTCTGTTCTACCATCCATTCAATCAAGCTCATCAAGTACGTTATGTGCTGCGTTCCTCTGTCCTTCTTGCCCTCAATCTTTCCTGTGAGTATCAGATTTTCCAAGCCCTCCTTCTTCATTACATGCCCCAGAAATTTCAACTGTCTTTTCCTGATGTTAAGTACAAGTTTTCTTTTTGTTTCCATTTTCTCTAAAACCTCTTCGTTACTCACAATTTCGGTTCATGGTATCCTCAGCATGTTTCCGTAGTGCCACATTTCTGCTGCTTCAAATCTCTTCTTAATCTTTGAAGAGATCACCCAGTATTTGCTGCCATACAGGAGAACAAATATTTTAGTGCTATTTTCCTTGTTTCTAGCAAAAATTTCCTATTTCTATTGTAAGTAAAAAAAAGAGAGAAAATGAATTTCTTAAGTATTGAATGGGAAGATTTTGCTTAATATCTCTGTGCCCGCTTGATCTCGAAGTAGATTCTATACAGACGTAATGTTTCAAAAGATCCAACTCTTTACCAAATGAGCAATCTCTCTATTAGTGCTATGATAATGTGGTTGTAGAAAGGAGAAAGTAAGATAAAGAAATGAAAAAAGAAGAGTTAAGATGAACGATGATATCTAAAAACAGATAGATAGAGAGAGGGGGAGATATAAGGAAAGAATAAAGGAAGGAAAATCATGGCACTCTCATACGACTATGAATGAGTAAATTAAGAAGCAACGAAGAAGGCGTGTCAGGAAGTAAAAGTCATACAGCAGGAAACAGACAAATCTGAGTAAAGGTGGATGAAAAAGGCAGAGAGGCGTGTCAGGTTTTTAACCTAATGAAATAAATAATGAGAAAAATCTTTCAAATAAGGCCTGCTATCTGATGTCGCTGGTCGGTAAACATCACTTGGCCGCTGCTCGATATACTTATGTATGTATGTAAGTAGAAAAGTGGGTAGGTTTTGCACTTCATCAGTCTGCCGGGCTTGAGAAACAGTGCATGATTTGCGACTCGTCTATCCTGAGCAGGAGTGGGAGGTGGGAATTTCATGGTTGGACTGAACAGCTGCAACCAATGAAAATGCTCGACAGTTGAACAAAGAAAATCTCTTTCCCCCCTCAATCTTTTTACTCTTCCACCTCTCCTGTTCCGTTCTCAATCACACAGCCACATGCGCGTTCGTAGAGAGAGAGAGAGAGAGAGAGAGAGAGAAGGAGAAAAGATAATTAAAGAGTTTGAAATTATCAAGAAACGGTAGAGACAAACCAAGCTTAATATCAACAAAGGCTCAAATAAGGGTAAGAAGATTGTGTTACGCCAATCTTTCAAGGGTTCGTCTGACCAAGTTTTTTTTTTTAATCCAACATCAGTAGAAAGTACGCAATCTCTCAAGAACGAGGCAGATCACATTTTTAGCATAATTCAATACACCTTCCAGAAACAAGATATTAAGAGAAAATTTCGTTAGAAAAAAAAGAATACCGAATTGCTACCGGAACAAGGAAATAAGAAAATTAAATATTAAAACAGTTTTCCAGAAATTTATATGGCATACTTTGTTCGAATATATATATATATATATATATATATATATATATATATATATATATATATATATATATGAGGCATTAAAGCCACTAAAACACAGAGGGTTGCTGAGTGTTTAAGAATAGGAAAAGAGAAACATTATTAACGAGTGACAACAATAAAATAAGAGGGAGAAAGAAGACAGTAGATTACAATTGGCATTGAATTCAAATTTTTGAGATTGAAATTGGCTGGAAAACAAGAAGCAGAAAGAGAATTCCGCAAGAGAACTATTAGGCATCGAAGCTGTGGTTCCAACTAACCAAGTCGATTGTAAATTGACTAGATCATGTTACCAATCAGACCACATGAAGTTACCAGTCTAATGTTACGTTTAAATTCATGTGGTCTAGGTACTATAGAAGATCATCAGAATAATTACCATGAAAGTATTTATAGAAAAGTTACAGTGATGCCACTATGGCAGTGGGAAAGTGACTTAAACCGAGATGTGTTTGTTGGTCAGGACTAATAGCATTGAGGATTCTTTATATTTTATCAAAAATCTTTAAATATATAGAAAGAGCACCAGATGATACGTGGCAACAATATTTCAAGTATGGACAAATGTTAGACTTATAAATATGTAAGAGATTCTGGAGAAAATAAATTGTCTAGCACGAAACAGTGAACCAATTTTTCTAGCAGTTAACCTAAAAATTGATTGACTGTCAACAAAAATAATATTAAGGTAAGCTATAGCTGTACAAAAAACAAATAATTATATATCCCAACATAATAATGTATTAAACAAGTTACCAAACAAAACACTAAATAATAATCCTACTAAAAGTCAATGTAACTACCGTAAAAACGTGTCCTACCCATTAAATGACAAGTGCATGACTGAAGACATTATATACAAAGCTAGGGTCAATTCAAACGATGATGTTAACTATTACTTTGGATCCACCGAGAACACCTGGAAATCACGATTTTACCACCACAAAATGACACTGAGCAATATCAAATACAAAAACTGCACAACATTTTCAAAGTATGTTTGGTGATTAAAAAACAATCATAAGAACCCAACTATTAACTGGGAGATAATCACGAAAGTTAAGCCATACAATGGAAAGGGAGACAGATGTAACTTGTGTTTGTTGGAGAAGCTTATTATATTAAAAAAAACACGAGATCTGAATTGATTTCTACATGTATCCATAAGTCCAAACACTTGCTCAAACACATTGACCCCGATTAAAAGAGATTACAAAATAGATTTTACAAATATTAATATAATATGTAACAACTATTAATATTCTTAGAAACTATCATTAAAAACTTTTCTTATATATCTATACAGACATATAATCCAATATTATTGAACCCGATTAAATTAATAACGTGCGTATATATAATTTCACGTTTATAAGTATAAGGCTTGGTCCCAAACACCTATTATTTTTACACCATTATATTTACATCCCGAATATTAGTTTAATTTAATTGGCATATCTATGGTATTTTATGCAAAAAGGAGAGTTATCCCTTGATATCTTGTTTATTTTTAAATTTAAATATATTTTTAATTCTTCTCCTTTCGATCAGAAGAATTTGAATGATATAAATTATAAATAATTAATTCTAATATTTTAGGCAACAATAATTAAATAAACAAGTTTTAACACATAATTTTGAATCATCACCACAAGAACGCGAACTCTATAACTTGCATGAACTGCATGAAATTCCGAGTCATGCTATCGACGTTGGATATTATGTATATTCACTAATATATACTTATAGTATATAGTTATTGAGCACTGTATTTATAACACCTGAGGTAGAAATATATTTATACGTATGTGCAAGTATATATTCGTGTATGTATATTTTTTATCATACTCATACCTACCTACCTATTGTTTAAACATTGCTGTAGTTATAGAAGAGCATTCAGCATCAGACATAGACCATTTATAGAGCCAGTGTAGTCATAGGAATCATAAATGCATGGTGACTGTACTTTTCCCGATTCAAAGCGATCTTCAGACCACGTTAGAAGAAGATCGCATTCTACTTTTATGTCACTAGTTTCTTCTGCCTCCCTTGCAGCCAATATGTCCGGTGTGTGTTAAATTCTCCAAGCATTCGTTGCACATTATGAACCCTACAAATTCCTATTGTCACTTTATGATTCCAAGTATATTTGTTATTTTCCATAAAACCTACTCATTTCTCATATGTTCATTCCATGATACTCTCAGCATTCTTCTGTAACACCACTTTTTTTCTAAACTCTCTTCTTCATCTTTGAGGAGAAAGTCACCATGAATTATTAATTCCGCTTCATAGGCCTTTGAAATAATGCTATACTCCTTATGTGTTTGTTGGTCAGTGCCTCATAGATCCTGTGAGTAATGGTAAATAGAACATAAGCAGTGGATCGGACCGATCGAAACCCGTACCACTTATCGCTCAAGAGGTTGTTCCTATTTAGGTGATCAACAACCTTTTTACTGATTATAGTCTCAAGAGGCTTGTTAATGACACGAAGCGGACTAGTGGATCTATATTGAGGGATGAGCGCTCACAAATGTTCTTGAAGACTGGGCATATGATTGACACCTTCCAAAGACTAGGGAAGGATTTCTCCTTCAAGCAGCGGTTAAATAGTTTCGCTAAGATCGGGGATAATTCAGGGTTGATATCCTTAAGGACAACCACTGAGATTTTGTCTAGGCCAGTAGCTTTCTTAGGGTCAAGACTTTTCATAAGTCCGGGCTGTAATAAAAATACTATTGAGATAGTGAGACGGGGGATGACCTATATCATGTAACGTTGACTTAGATGCAAAGATTGAGACGAAGAGTTCCGCCTTATCTGAGTTCGATGACTTTTATAATAGTGGGTACAAACGCTTTGCCTCTATTCAGAATTTGGTTGGAGATCTCTTAAGATCCACTTTGTTTTCGACCTTAGCCTGAACCGTGGGGTACATAGCTCTACTTCACGAGCAGTTCTGAATGCAGCAAATGTTAAACTACACCACTCCTTATGATATATATTGAAGTAATGGTCGCGGTGAGCTATGGCTGTAGTGCATTCAAAGATGAACCACGGGTGCCTGTTTGGTTTTTGTTGGAATTTCTTTTGGGGTATAAAATTCTCCATTCCAGAAAGGATCCATTCAGAGACGAGGGCAGCAGTTTTGGAGACAGCATGTTTGAAGACGGTTGAGGGAGGAGCTTCCACCGTGTAATATCTAAAGCTGTCACAGTCTGCCTTCGTGTAACGAAAAATCGTTGTCTGAAACGGCAAATCAAGGGTTGCTTTTGTTTTGGCATCAATTTGGAACTGGGTAGAAAATAGTCTGACGTGTCCAGTGGGAGTAAAACATCCGCAAAGCATTTCCAGTGAATGCTGTGTGGAATAGGTCAAGGAGACTAGCCTGGTGTCCTGTCGCATCAGGAAGAAAATACGTATACGTCGTTGTGTACTTCTTTATATTTTCTTAGACATTAGCATAAACTTAGGAATAAAAAATTGTTTGCAGAATTATTTCTTTATTGCATTGTATATATTTCACATATTTTTATAATGTCATATATATATATATATATATATATATATATATATATATATACTCAGGATACGGTTTGGGTCTGGGACGCAAAGTTTGGACGCTTTTTATTTTATTTTTTAGTCCCTTTTAATAGATATACTCTCAAAATGCATGCAACAAGAAAGGTAAATTCAAATTGGGTATATAGAACTCTAAAACCTGGGAGAGTAGACCATCTAAGAAATGAAAAACTAGATTCAATCCTCCGCTGCATTGCAGCTATACCCAGTCATGGGAAAGGCTACAGGAGTAAACTCTGATGATAAAATCTGAGTCTGGGTCCTGATGATAGTTCGGCGTTAAATCTAAATTTGTTTTGGCAACTCTTTCAACGAAAACGGCTCCAAGCAATATCGGCTCCTGCTTTTCCTTTGTAAAACGTATAACTCCTGCTCTGACACTCCCGCATTACCTCCACCTGCGCTCAGTTGGTAAGAGATGTTGGGCTACCACCAGTAGCTGAATTAAAAAACAAAACAACAACAAAAAAAAACCCAATAAACTCTATGGATTCAGATCTATGGCCTCTTTAGAGCGACATACATATTATGATTTTGCGAACAGATATTAAAGAGGATATTCTCCATTTCTTGCAGACAGATCGGCCACATGAGGTAAGCAAACGCTTTCATAGAGAATGCAGGTAAAGATCTGACAACCAGAGGAAGTTCCGGTTTTACTGCGGTGTCTCCTCCCTGCTGGTTAAAAATATAGACATCCCTCAGACCTGCTAGATTCATTTTTTAAGGTAGGTACAAAGTGTGTGTAACAGTCCCCACCATTTGAATGTATTCCACCTGTGATATTTTTCACAAAATTGCGTCCGAAAATACAGCCCGCTAGGATTTTTTTTTTACTTTGTGCGGAAGGCACATATCAAAGCGGTTAACATAACACAGCTATTATAAATGATTTTCAACATTTCATTTAAGGTGTTTTCAGTTTGTTAAATACTTCCTTCGTCGCATAAAAGGTTATTCCTAAATTTTCGGCTTGAACCAAAATGTGTCGAATAATTCGGCGAGAAATTATCAGTATTAAACTTCACAAACCACTTTCAACATGTTTGATTCTTTACAGTAATTTTTCTATAAAATGCACAAACCTTTACGTTTTAAGTCGAACTTTCACGTCTTAAAATAAAAACGCATGTTGCAATTATTGCCTACTTTTTCCATCTTTCACGTTAAGATCAATACCCTTCCCACCAAAAAATACGCTCATTTTGAATTTTTTGAAAATTACCTGTTGATCTGCCACAACAGAATCTATTTTTCTTTAAATACACGTAGTTAAAACTAAAAACTCTTAATTCTATCGAAGGCCGTAAACAGAACTAAGTTTTTAGGCTACCCAAAATATGCAAGTACGTCAATGTCTTAGCAGTCAAATGATGAAAAAATAATTTTACACAAGTTATTTTTTAATATAATCTCTTCCTTCTCAATGCACTTCTGTGACACACCATTTCACGTACATAAGGCTGACTCATCCGCATTCCCTTCGTATTGTGACAATATTTAACATGGCGTACGGACGAAATGGGTTAAACGGACAAAAAGGATTAAAACAAAACGATTTTAATTTTTTGTCAGAAAGAGAATTATTTTCCCAGGATATGGGAACGGATGTATGAATTTTGTTGAAAAAGTTACACAACGTGATTCAGCTAGACACAGCAGGAAAGGTCGGGGGCCAGAGGTTAAAGTCGTCTGCTGAAAGGTGTCAATGGGAAATTTTAGCTGACAAAATTTCCCTGGGAAAAAATTATAATTGTAAGCAATTGTAAAGGCAGAAGATGACGTCAGAAAGGCTGACATCATATGATGGCTCCTCTTGAAGAAGGGGATCTTCCAAAATTGGAAATGTGAAATAGAAAGCGAAAGAAAACGACTGATTGAATTTTGGGAGATTTGCATAAAACCCACCTATTCGTCCGCACCAGACCAGTTGAAAGGGACACCCATAAATACAAGTGCCCACGTAGGCCAAAGTTAGTTGGGGCCAGCCAGTTGCAGTGGCAGTGAGGTTGCGACCGGGAGTTAAGAGATTTCTGATATAACGCTGCTTGCCAACCTAATGATAATAATAATAATTATCTGCTGAAGAAAAACTCTAACGAATAACATTGTGCCGTCCGTGAAAGTACAAACAATAGTATTTGAAGTTAAATCCAGTTGTCGCTGAAGAAAGATTGCGACAATAAACCTTGTGCCGTTCTAGAAAGTACAAATCACAGTACTTGAAGATAAAACCAGTTGTCAAGTCTGGCCACCCTTAAAGAAGTTACCTGAAATTATCGTTCCGTCGCCAAATATTAGAACGGGTTGGGAAAAGAAGAAAAAGAACAAAGAACTGTAAAAATATATATATATATATATATATATATATATATATATATATATATATATATATATATATATTATTTTGATATAAACATCATATTGTGACTTATTCGGGCATCCATTTTATTTTTCAATTTTGTATGTGTGTGTTCAACTCCTTGGTTTAGAGTTGTTGATAATTCGGCTTGACTCTCTTAAGATCAAAATCACAACGTGGGTAAGAGAGGTCACAGTTGAAGAGGTCAACTTAAAGACCAGCTGCTGTGTCAAACGCCATCAACGACCGACGAGTGGGCTGACGGCTTGTTCTCTGATACCAGGATCGATCCTGACCAAGCGAGCAGGCCGGGATTGAATCGGAACGCCATCATAACTGGTGACCGGAGCAGGCATAGTATTCCATTGCTAAAAAGGAAGTTTCACTTAGCTTTTTCCTATGAACTATTACTTTACGGAAGAAGAGAGTCCAGAGAGGATTTTCTCCAGAAAATTACGATCTTAACATCATCAAGCTTAGTATCGACCGTTATCTACCCGACATATCCTCTTACAACTTTACAACCTCATTCAATAACCATCTATGATGAGTGACACATGAGACTTGGATTGGGTGAACAATACTATAATAAACATAGATTGAAGATTAGATAATGAGAATTTAAAAACAAAACTTTGCTAATAACTTAACTACAGAGTATATTAATCTGCCATTGTATTTACACAGACATTTTATATATATATATATATATATATATATATATATATATATATATATATATATATATATATATATATATATATATATATATATTTGCTCTGAATTTACATTGAGCTCTCTGGATTTTATCTTCCATATGATAATAACAACAATGCTGAGGACAATAGTTCACATGTAAATTATTATAATTTGAAAGTGGGTTTGGAAAATTTGACACTCACAGGACATATTTATGGCAGGGGACAGAAGAAGCTTATGTAAATGGATGGCAGAATAGAGTTCAGGAGAAACGACAAAAAGAAAATTTACTCAGAGCTACAAAGCACAGAAAATTGTGGAGTTGTTTGCTAACATCCTAAAGAAGAAGTATGTGATCCAAGATAAATTCGCTCTAACAATATTATTTCACACATAAGATAAGGAAATAAATTCCTTCCTTTTAATTCCACTCAACTATTCGAGTTTAGCAAGATTTTCCGGGTTTTCAGGATTCGTGTCTCCAGTCCGCCTTTGAATTAGCAAACATAAAATTTTATCAATGATAGTCAGAAAAGTAGTTTTTGAAGTTTTGACTATCCATGTGGCTTTGGAGTGGTTTCAAAAACTTTCGGAACACAAGTGGATGGATAAGGCGGTGGGACCCCAGCGATTATACATGTAAGCAGAGAGAGGTAGGAAGTCGAGGAGATAGGGGCCCAGCCGTGAAAGAAGTAGGTAGGTGACCAGAGGAATTAGTAACTGCCCAGCGGCCAGTGACATAAGGACTGGTAGTGAGGAATTAGGTGTCACCGAGAACAATGAAGAAGATACCAGCTAAAATATGGAGACAGCAGTTCAGCCGAAGGGAAAGATAAGCCAGTTAAGTGAGAAATCGTATTTTTGTGAACACCCAACCAGCGTCTTTAAAAACATTTGTCGTCATTATTATTATTTGTTGAGATCGATCACAGCCAACAAGGAGATGAACCTGTGGTGCACCATAGCAAGTTGTGTGTATATGCAAATACAATCAATCTTGGATGTCAACACAGGTGCATGAATGAAGGACGATCGGAGAATGTCGTCACATGACTTGTCACAAATTCGCCACAAATGTCATCATAATCTTAATCTGGAAAAATGTTGCAATACAATCTTCTTACCCTAATTTCCATTACATCTGGTTTCATGATGAACTAAAACTAAGCTTAATAAATATCAACAAAAGTAATAAGGCATAAACAATTTCTTTGTTGTACAAAACTGAAGCAGAACTGCTATTTTGCGGAAAAGACTCCCGAGAAGATAGTTCCTTGATCACTAGAATCTTAACTTCTTCGAGTTTAGGTGTTGGTTATTTTCCACTTTACCTCACAGATGCGATGCAATGTCGCAAGCCTATGGTTACTATATTTCCTTGGTAAATGTACTGACAAGCTCCAATCCCTAGTTCAGACCTTCACGGCTAAAACTCTCCATGTCATATACACAGGAGCGAATATCCTCATTCCCTTCATATTCCAATGGTAAGAAGGAAGTTCCCATTTGGACAGCTTCTTCTACTTTATGGAACAAATTCCCAAGAGGATGCTAACCCAAACGCTACAAGCTTAATCTCTTTATGTTAACTATATAACTTATCCTCCTAATCTGCACTTACTTTCCCTTCCTATATCCATGCAACAAACTTATTTAGCAATCCACTCTATCTTGAATCACTCTTTTGAGCCTTGTATCGAGTGAAAATTTACTGAAAAAAAAAGATGAATAAATAAAAAAAAAGTTCAAGTGGGACAACACAATCTTTCTAATCTGATTTTCCTCTCAGCTGGCCTTGTGTTGTATTAAGCTTGACTCTATAAATATAAATAAGAGAGAAGATTGAGGATTTATGGTCATATCATGTTGAAACACCAGTTCTCATACAGTCACTGAAGTTAAGCAACATTGAGCCTGGTTGTTTAAAGATAGAAAATATTTTCAGATTTTTTTTTTTTTTTTTAAAATCAGTATCACCCCAAACAAGGTAGTTCAGCCACTAACATGCAAGGGGTTACAGGGTGGGGAAGAAATAGGAACAGAAACATTAGTAATGAGTAGAAAGAGAAAGAGCAATTAGGAGCATAGGACCAAGGATGGAGCCCTGGGAGACACTGCATTAGTACAAAAGGATTGTAAGAATTTTCTGGTAAATAATAATCATTTACTGATACAAGTTCTACTAAATAACATATAGGTGGGGAGGAGAAGAAATGGATTCATACATTTCTCAAAGGTATTCATAAGCGAATATAAAAAAACCCAATTGGAATCAGGACTTGGCTCTCAGATATCCAATTCCTAGCTGTTATCCATTAAACCACACCTGCACATCCAAGTTTACAGTGCCTGGTATTCCCAATGATCACCCACCTAGGTACTGACTAGGCTCAAGTTGCTTAAAAGAGAGAAGCAATATTGATATGTGGTTGGTGAGTCTTGGTGCAATTAGGCAATAAAAAGACAAGCAAATAAGTTTAAGAAAATGAAATATCATTTATTTCTGAATATTTACATGAAATGCATTCAAATTAAAACCGAACGCTATAAAGCTGCTTCAACCAGGTTGATTTTCTTTTTCTTCTTTGACTTATGTGATAGACGTTGCATCTCAAGATCCATTGACCAATCACTGTCACTCTTGTCTTCCCCTCTCCAGTCAAAATCCTCTGACAAGGATGACTTGCGTTTCAGTGTATTGTCCTGAATGATTCCACAAGCCAGCTGCAAACAGTTCATAGTGTCATCTTTATTTGGAGAAAGTTCATTCTTCTGAAAACTCTCCTTTTTTTCCGGGGTTATGCACACTTTCAAAGGTGAAATACTTTTGACAGAACCAAAACTAACAGGGGCCCTACTAATAGTGGCAGAGGGAAGTGTAAGAACATTTGATGACAGAGACATTCCTTGTTTCAGAAGCAAAGACTGAGTCGATACTGAAGACATGGAAACAGAGACATTACTGTTATCTTTAAGTATATAGTTTGGTGTAGTTGCTGTGTTGGCAAGGTATGGTGTTAGTACATTTTTGCCCTTCATCTTCACTAACATCAAATGTTGACCAGTCTGGGGAATCATGCACTTTCCAATCAGTACTGGTGGAGATGTGGGTGAAATCAATAAAGGAGTGGGATAAGCTATCCGCACCCTGTGGATACAATTTGAATTACATTTCAAAGACTTTTTGGTTTCAGAAGGCAACTGGGATACATGAACTGATTTCATTCTTGCAGGTATGTACAACTGAGGCAGCATAACCCGAGGTTGAAGAAATGCGTATTTCTTCTTTTTTACTTCCTCTATGCAGAGCCTGCCTTTTATTTGGCAAGGTCTTGCTTTTTGAGCTTTTTTTATAACTGAAATCATTTTCTCTGGTCTTAAAGCACGACCAATATCCACTAATCTCTTCCTTTGAGAGACAGAAAAATGGTTGCTTAAGTCATGTAACTTGTAGTGTTTCTGTGGAGTTGGTGAAGTCTTTGGTAACAATTTCGGCTTGTTTAACCTGGCATAGACAATTGGCTTGCACTGGGTTGAGGTCTCTGTTTTCATATCCACCTTCTCTTTTTCATTCTGAATGTTGCTGCTCAAAACCACTTTGGGCTGAATTTGAAGTGGCTTCATATACGGCACAATCTTTTCATACTTTGGAGGAGAGGAGTTTTCAGAAATTGACCCCACCTTATTGCTACATCTAGACTCAGCCTGATTATCAGTCTCGTCATCACACTGAGCAGATGATGCTGCCTCCCAATAATTGAAACCTTTATTTGCTTCATTTTTCAGTGAAAATATTGAATCGATCTTTAATGTCATGGGCAGATCTTCCACCACTTCCATTTTGGTTTGAGTTTCTGTACTTTTCTGAGAGGACTTGGGAGATAAAAAAGGCTGTTGCAAGAAGCTGTTAGAAGGAAGTGTTACTGGTGTTTGCTTTGGTTTTAATAAACTCTGCATTGATACAAGCTTATGTACAGAATTTGCAGCTGTTGTACTGATTGTAGGTGTGTTTGATGACTCTGCTTTACAACTCACTACAACAGCACATGCTTCACCTTTTTGAAGTTTATGTAAAATGTTATTAATACCCGCATTTGAAGCAGTGCTATTATAATTGGGATTATTTGTTGATGTTGTGGTGAGTGTTTGTTCATTAATGCTACTGCTTTCTGACTTGGTAACCAAATCAGCTGGCTGGTTGAGCTGTAAAACTGGCGAGTTGGCGAGAGGCATTAGTTTAATATTTGATGGAGCACTATTGTCCAAATTCAGATTCACAACCTGGGAGCTTGACAAACTTTGTGTGGGGAGGCTGATTGTAGGAGTGACTTGTGTGGGTAATTTGATAATATGTGTTCCAGGGAATCCCTGAGTAGGCAATTTGACAACCTGAGCACCTGGCATGCCTTGGTTTGTTAATGTAACAGTGAGAAATTGTGGATTGGATGGCATCTGATTTATCAAAGAGACAAGTTGTGGGCCTGTTGATGCTTGGCTAGTCAAAGAGACAAGTTGTGAATTTGTGGGTGCTTGACTAGTCAGTGTGACAACTGGAGATGTTTGTGCTTGACTAGGTAATGAAACAAGTTGAGCACCTGTTGAAGACTGGCTAGTCAATGTGACAAGTTGTGTACCCAATGGAGGCTGGCCTGTCAGTTTAACAAGTTGTGTACCTGTTGGAGTCTGGCCAGTCAGTGTAACAAGTGGGGAACCTGTTGGAGGCTGGCTAGTCAGTTTAACAAGTGGAGTACCTGTTGGAGGCTGATTAGTCAGTTTAACAAGTGGGATACCTGTTGGAGGTTGGCTAGTCATTTTCACAAGTGGGGTACCTGTTGGATTCTGGCTAGTTAGTTTAACAAGTTGGGTACCTGTTGGATTCTGGCTAGTCAGTTTAACAAGTTGGGTACCTGTTGGATTCTGGCTAGTCATTTTAACAAGTTGGGTACCTGTTGAGGGTTGGTTAGTCAGTTTGACAAGTTGGGTACCTGTTGAGGGTTGGTTAGTCAGTTTGACAAGTTGGGTACCTGTTGAGGGTTGGTTAGTCAGTTTGACAAGTTGGGTACCTGTTGAGGGTTGGTTAGTCAGTTTGACAAGTTGGGTACCTGTTGAGGGTTGGTTAGTCAGTTTGACAAGTTGGGTACCTGTTGGGTTGGTTAGTCAGTTTGACAAGTTGGGTACCTGTTGGAGGCTGACTAGTCAGTTTGACAAGTTGGGTACCTGTTGGAGCCTGGCTAGTGAATGTAACAAGTTGTGTAGCTGCTGGAGCTTGACTAGCCAATGTTATAAGTTGTGTACCTGTTGGACTCTGGTTAGTCAGTTTACAAAGTTGTGAACCAGTTGGAGCTTGACTAGCCAAGGTGACAAGTTGTGTACATGTTGGAGCCTGGCTAGCCAGTTTAACAACTTGTGTACCTGTTTGAGCTTGACCTGCTAATGGTACAAGTTGTGTACCTGTTGGAATCTGGCTAGCTAATTTAACAAGTTGTGTACCTGTTGGAGCTTGACTAGACAACGTGACAAGTTGTGTACCTGTTGAAGCCTGGCTTGTAATTGTGACAAGCTCTGTACTTGTTGGAGCATGACTAGCCAATGTGACAAGTTGTGTACCTGTTGGAGCCTGGCTAGTTAGTTTAACAACTTGTGTACCTGTTGGAGCTTGACTACCTAATGTGACAAACTGTGTACCTGTTAAAGCCTGGCTAGTCAGTGTGACAAGTTGCGTTCCTGTTGGAGGTTGGCTAGTCAGTTTAACAAGTTGTGTACCTGTCGAAGCTTGACTATTCAGTGTGACAAGTTGTGTACCTGTTGGAGGTTGGCTAGTCAGTTTAACAAGTTGTGTACCTGTTGAGGCCTGGCTAGTCAATGTGACAACTTGAGAACCTGTTGGTGCTTGACTTGTGAATGTTAGAACTGGTGCAGCTGTTGTTTTACCTGGCAGTGTGACTAATTGTGAATTAGAAGAAGATCCCTGATTAGACAAAGGAACAACTGAAGAACTGGAAGGAACCTGAGCTTGGTTTGGTAATGTGATGATATGTCTGCCATTAATTACTGTAGTGGGTATCTTGATGAGATTGGAATTATTTCCTGAACTGTTTAAATTCAGAATTGGAGATGTTTGATTTAATTTGACAATATTTGTTGTGTTGTCACTGCTGTCTGCTAATTTAAAATAATGTGAACTGTTGGAGATGGGATTCAGTCTAAATGATTTTGAATTGGTATCATTCATTAAATTGGCTGGTATCTTTAAAACGGAAGCATTTTCAGGATGATTGGAATCATTTGCTTCCACTTGTGTATTAACACCATTACTGGCCAAGTCCACTTTTATGTGTGTCTCATTATTTGCCAAACTTCCTAACTTTAAAAATTGTACAGTGTCATCTATTTTGATAGAGTTGTTTGGTTCTTGGTTAGCTTTTAAAGCAAACACTTGACCGTTCATAGAAGAATTAAGGTTGACATTGGGAGCCACAGAAGCAATAGTTATTGGGGTAACTGTGGCAGAATTTGATTTAAGAGGTTTAAGTAAAACTATTACCGGAGACTGTTGGCTGCTACTACTTTGACACATTGTAACCGGGGTAACTTTCTGAAGGTCAACATTCATGTCTGGATTCAAGGAATTAGCCTTTGAAAAACTTGTCTCTGCATTTGTTGTTGTTGTGGTTGTTGTAGGTGAAAAAATACTACAGGCATCAGAAGGTGTCATAAGCCTAATTGTCTTTACATTATTAACTTTAGGTGGGTTATTTACAGGAACAGCAGTTTTAGATTCAGCAAGATATGTTGGTGAATTACCAATTGTAGTAACAGGTAGAGAATTGTTTATTATGTTATGATAAACCTGAGCTTGTTTAAATTTGTCTTTTGTATTGTTTGTTTCTGGTGGATTTGAAATATTAGACATGGATGTTGTGCAAATTGTTGAGTGCCTACTTTGTACTACTGAACTGACTGGCGCAAGAGATGGCAGGGTCAAAATACTTTCAGTAGCTGAAGTTGTTGTTTTGGGAAGAAGCTTTACTAACAGTGGGACAGTGGAGGAACTTGATTGAGGGAGAGCAAGAACAGAATAAGAGGAGGAAATAGAAGAAGGAGCATTTGTTGTTGTAGCAAGAACAGTTGAATCCGAGGAAACATTTGAATCTATTTGGTTAACACAGACTAAAGATTTATACATTGATGACGTGAGAGCTGTGGTCGGCTGCAAATTATTCTGAACAATGGGAGCTAGTACAGAGGTTGATGTAGGCCTTGTTAAAGGCAGCAGAGGAGAGGCAACATTGCTGACTATAGCATTTTGACTTGGCACATGGTTAATGTCTGACACAAGGCTATGGGACACAAAACTCGTGTGCACAGTTGGTTTCTTTGTCACAAGCTGACTAGAGGAAGTGTCAGATTTAGTGTTTGGTATAAGCAAACATGGGGCCATTTGCAAAGAGTTGGAGTTGTCAGATAAGGAAAGGCTAGCCATTTCATCAACTTGGCCACTTGGAAGTGATTTGCACTGGACATGGGATGCCAATGATTGCAATGTCATAAATGCACCAACCAAATCTGTATTAGCAATCTGGACTTTGGGAATCAGCTGACCGGTATCATTTGCTGGGTTTATTGGTTTTATCACATTTGCAGAACTTGGGAAAGACTGGACAAGTTGGTGGTTGCTGGCAGAAGTGGTGACTGGGAGAGTCAGAGCCTGGGTTAGCTTATTGTCTGTGCTAACTGGAATAGAGTTGTTAGTATTCACAGATGGTGAATGACACTGAAGCAAAGATCTCTCAGAAAGTGAAGAGTTAATTTTGTTTACAGATGAAATGGGAGCTGTAATGAAATTAGTTGTGGCTGTTAATGGTTTTTGAGAGAGCAGACTGATTGTTGGAGTTGATGAAGTAAAAGCTTGAGTATTGTGGTAAGAAGAGAGGTGAGTAGGAGCAATTGTTTTTGAAACAACAATCGTCTCTGGAATCTTTTCAGTGTCTTCAGACTGAGTCTTGGGTGCCAAACCTGCTGAATAGATCAAAGATTTCAGGTTCAATGATGACAGGGGCATAGATGTCTTGATAATTAAAGTGTTATGAGGAGATGAAGAAAGTATATTTGGACCGGAACTTGTGACAGGTAAATACTTTATGCTATCCGTCAGTGTTTCAACAGCTGTTGTGGTGGTTGCAGTTGAAAAAGGAAGTGTGGAAATCCTGTAAGTATGTTCTGAAATAAATTCGGATGTTGCTGGTAGATATTTTAATAGATCTGGAATTGGAATTTGAGAAGGAGATACATTATTTTTAAATGAAACTTCTTCCACTTCTTGTCCATTTTCGTCGAGCAAAACTACTGTAATTTTGGCATCAGGATCCAGAGGTTCAGAATCACTTTCAGTTGAACTCTGGCTGTCTTCCAAATTTGTGGATTCTAACTCAGAAGCTAACACTAAGTACATCTGACCATCAATATTCTTTGTATACAACTGAGAGTGATCACCTTTCTCTAAGGCAGCAGCTTTTAAGGTTTCAGCCTTTGAATTCATTTTCCCCTGGTCAGAAGTTGATCTGAAACGAGAGGAAAAAAGTAAATAAATAAAAAGGTTTCTTTTGAGATTTTTTTTTATATGAAATATAAAATGAGTGACCATGCTAAAATGAGTCCAAAAGTGACAAATTTATCAAACAATGAATGGTACAGTATATTTCTATTTGACTGAGAAGAGAAATGAATATATTTTGAGAAGTCCAGCTATTTCGATATAATTTAATATGATCTATTAACAATATTAACTTAGTCCTGGGTATGACGATACATCCAGGTCTCTGATCAGGAGATTGGAGGATTTGAGGAGCATGGAACCAATTCTTGATTGCTGTTGTTCCCAGGTTCGAGACCTGGGGTAGTAGCACCTGTTAGCTCACCATTTATGGGCAAATAGTGAACCTCAAAACATTATGAAAGTATAAAAATATATTTTTATAGTAAAAATACCAGCAATACATTTTTATACAAAATAAATTACTAACAATCTATATTTATAGTAGAATTACCAAGAATACATTTTTAAAGCAGAATTACCAACAATAAATTTTATAGCAAAATGACCAAAAATACATTTTATCTGTAGTTGAAGCCATAAAACTATGTTCAAAATATTTAGATTTCAGCATTAAATAACCCATAGGGGTAAAATCAAACATCAAAAAAACAATATTAGTTAACACATTTTCCAGCTAATTATATATAATTTAATATGGTCTATTAACAATATTAATTAACAACATATTTTGAGAAGTCCAGCTAATTTGATTATTATATATGATTTCTTCTTTTTCCTATTGAAATTGCTCATAAGTTCTATTCCAATAGTTTCTCATCTTGTACTTCTCACAAATGGAAATTTTTTCCTGTTTCTTGCTTTCCTGTTAAATATGATCTTCCAAAATTTAAATGCAATATCAATCATCATCATCATCTGTATTTTTGAATTTTATTAATTCTTCAACTTAATTCCCCATATAAAGCACTATCTTGATTAATTCATTAAAATGCCATGTCTCATCATGATGTGGGCAGTCATGACTCTCCACAGTTTTCTTTTATCTATTATCTGTGAATAACCTTTCTTGGGAAAGAGAGTGAAGAAGTTTCCTGTTTGACTAACTCCACAATTTCCCTTTCCTAATCTGGTTGCCACTTAGCTAGAGAGCACAGTCTATCTTGCTACTTAACCCATAGCTGGGTAGAGAAGTGGTAGATTTTTCAAGAGCACTGGTGTGAAATTGAATGCAACAGACTAGCCCAGTATTTGAACTCAACTTGCTGAACTGGCTTGATACAACTGTTTAATTCTTTAATTGATATATATATATATATATATATATATATATATATATATATATATCTCAATGAGATATTCAACAACAGCATGGGTAAAAGTATCTAGTTTTGTAAAGTTGCCAGGAGCTATCAGTGAACCCTATTTTATGTTGCAAAAGTGGTCCACTAAATGTCCATTAACTTGTTCTCAGATTTTTTTCAAGGCTTTGTTGCTTGTGTTTTGGAATTAAACCTTAGAGCATTAGGAATAAAGATAATAGTTTGTTTCCAAGCACACTTGTCTGCTAGGGCAGCCAAGTAATCCTTGTTGAAAATGCCTACTCAGGTACATTTGTGTTTGTTCAGCACTTGAAGAGCAAACCTTTGGTTTATACTGCAACTATGCTGAGCAGACCTTAGTTACAGTTTCTGAGAGAGAGTGCATCAACTGGTGTAATCAACAGTTTGAACAAGGCCATCAGACTCTAATCCTTGATCCCAATGATTTTTAACTTTGTGCTAGAAAAACCATCACCCAAATTTACTTACAAGGCTTGGAGCAACTTATGGTATGGTATCTGAGCCCTTTCCAATGCTGCCATATGTTGGGATCACTTTGCAATCTTAACATCAAGAAGTCATTTTCTTGATAAAATGACCATGGTGAGATTTGAACCTGGGTCTCATGGTCAGAAAGTGAACATTTTAACCACGTGGCCATGCTTTGTAAAACAATAGAAAGGCTACTTGCACTGGGAATAATGCAGCATTGAAATAGTTAAACTAATATTTAGAGGTGAGCCCCAGATTTTTAGACCAAAATTAAATATTCTCTTACAATTTGATCATTAGAATATATGAAAGTTGAAAAATGTACAAAGTGCAGTAAGTGATTAACTGTTTGAATAATCAAGTGGTCTTTGTATTATATAGACCACTGTTATACAAATAGATGGTTACAAAATAATTCCTACTTCAATTGTTTTGGATAGCTAGAAGACAATTTCTATAAGTCAGGGTTCCACACTAGCCTCTTTCACCATCATCCTAGAGCTGGCACAAAACAACTTTAATCATGCCAAAAACCTTGAAGCTGTCCTGAAGTCAAAATGGTATTATCATTCATAGTTGCTAGTAGTATAATAAAAATACCATTAAAATATTTAGGAAATAAATGTAAAAAGGCTAAATATTAAAGTTTTAGTAATAGATAACTACAAAAACAAATTAGTTAAGTTTCACTCTAATTTTTATAAAATAACTTCTTCTCTGAATTTCTGGGATGAGGAGTTATCATTATTTACATGCGGATTTTTGTCCTCATCTTTGTTGTTATTACAACATTTCAGCTGTTGTGCCCTCTGACCTTCATCAGATGTATGTTAACCTGGGTAACTTAAAGGGAATTTCAAACTGAACCCTTTATTTAATCAACAGGGGTAGACTGTTCTCATTCCTTTACAATGTCTAGGGATATTTATTTTTTATTTAAACATTTCAGTTAAATTACCTTGAATAATTTTATCAGGAAATGATCTCATTAATTAATTTTCATTAGGTACCTCCACTAATTCACTGAAAAAAGAGTGTACCATGATGAAAATGTCCCAGACTTAATAAAAATAAAGTTTTATCAAAATGTTTGTTATTAAGAGGAAAGACCAAAGTATTTTTAATTGTTTTTAACTTTTTACTCCTTTCTAACATGTTTGAAATTTGGGCTAAAAATTTTGTTTTAATTGTCAGATTTTAATACAACTTTCAGGACTTATTCACAAATAAGTGAATTTATTTTTGAAATTATTATTTTTAGAAAATCTTACTAAAATTTTTTTTTTTGTTTTACGTCTGTTAATCCTCGCCACCAACCGCCACCTTACTTAAAATTTTCTAGAATTTAAAAACTTCAATGAAATTTTTTTTATTAGTTAAAAGACAGGAGAATGTAAATCATCAATTTTTTTTTTTTAAACGTTTACCAAGATTCCTAAAATCTGCTCCAAATTGTAAAATAAAAAATGCAATAAAACTATGTAATTATTTAATTAGAAAAGCTTTTAATTGCTTTCATAAATAATATATATTAAGGACATTATACTCTGAAGGAAAAAATTGTTTTCAATGAATAATGAATTTTTACAAGAATTGTTTGCATTTTTCTTTTTTTAATTATAAAGATTCAAAAACGTTTTAAAATTCTTCCACACATTGTCAAAGTTATTAAATGAAGACTATATTTACTAAACAAAAATTCAAAAGCTTAATACAAATCATCCTAACAAAAATTTTTACAATAATTAATTAAAAATGTATGCATGCATGCTTTATTTATTAAAAGTCTGCCACTCTTGGTGAGAAGAATTTCTTTTAAGAAATTATTTGCTTTTAGAATTAAACATTTTGTATTGTCTGAACATTTTCCCAAAATCCTAACCATTCATCCTAAATCTATGTACTATACTCTCTGAAATTAATCTAATCTCAGGTTCTGTAACAAATACAACATTAAGGAAGTTTGTAAATATGGAATTGCATGGAGAAACCACACATCAAAGCAACTAACATATCCAATCTTTTGAGTGTCTTGGTTATCCCCCCTGTTGGAGGTTGAATTATCTTTTGGAAACAAACCATCACCACCAAGAAACATGGTTAATATGGGCTACAAGATCTGTGAATATTTTAACTTTTACCATGCTAATTTATAGAATTGTTCCCTTTACCACTGCTTTTCATTTTTTTTTTTTTTGAGTTTGCAAAAATATAAACATCTACTGCTTTAAAATTGTTATAACTTTCTTCATATTGTGTGCATAGATTTTATTTTTTGTATACTAATAAAAGAATGGATGAGTAATATTTTGATGTGATGCATTACATTTTGTATGCATGTTTTGATGTTGAAAACAAAAGAAAATAATTGAAACAACAAAAAACAAAAAAAAACAAATACATTAACAAATACATAAACAATTCAACATACTTCAACTTTTATTACTCCTTGTGGAGTTCTGGAGTGCAATAAGAAGCAAAATCACTAAAAAGCCTTTTCATTTTGTCAAAAAAATGACATGCTTCCTCATGTTTACATACAATAAGACACCAACATTTGTTTGCTCTTTCACCTGACTCATATTTGTCTCAGTGACAAATAAAGTTATTATTTCACCATTTATAAATAGACAAAATAAGTCACCTTCAGAAAGTCTATCACATATATTGATGGTTACCAGTAGCTTCCATAAAATTAATCAGCCACTGGTTGTTAGTAGCCGGTCAGTATCTAGTGATCATCATTGCTTTCCTCCATGTCACTAGCATAGTTCAACCACTTCACAGTGAATATCCACTTGAGTAAAGCCTTCAAAATCTTCATCAGAGTTTGAATCGTAGGAAAACTTCTGAATAAAAGCTTCATTGGATGCTGATGCAGCATTTTCATTTACAAAAAATTGTGAAAAAAATTAACATGGGTTTAATCAATGTTACACCTCATGATGAGTCTACAAGAATTCAAAATGGTGTCAGAAAACAGAAGTTTAGCCTAATTCCAAAGCAGTAGTAGGTGATTTCCAGCTTAAAATACTGGAAATAATATTTGACAAGCATTTATAGCAACCATCTCAAGGTGACATAATGCACCTACAGCACCAAAGGGAGAGAATTCTATGGTGACAATTTTTGCCTTCAGTGTGGTAAAGGTTAAAATCAAGCTAGTAATGTTTTATCAAAACAGACTGTGTTT